TGGTGAAATAAAAGTTAAGTAAATACTTTAAATAATTAAATAGGAAAACGGAGGCAGAGAACTCAGACATCTCAAAGGCTGAGCCAATTAACCCGAAAGGATCTGCATGATAAATACTGTACCACGATGGCAGAGCAGCTAAATGTCTGCTTTTCATTTGGATGAACTGAAATTTAAAACAGAACAAAAACAACATGCAACTTGAAGTAGGATGTGAGGTTGTACGTGCTGTACGTTCTTCACAATGAAGACACACCTTTAAAATAAAGTGTGAAAGAAGAGTTATTCTGCTCATCGCTAGACTTGCGTTACGTAAATGTGTGAGATGAAGTGTTTCCTGTTTTTCTTACCACAGACTTTTACATTTAACAAAAACTATGAACACACTAGAGGAAAGAAACACTGAGAAAACATATGTCGGCTTTAAACATGTTTTCTCTTCACACATCCACGGATAAAAAGTTCCTCCTCTATACCCTCAGAATATATAACTCCACACTCTGTCTTCAGCGGCGTCTCTGTGTGTGTTCACTTTACAGTTGTGTATATTTGCTAATTTCTAAGCGTGTCAGAGTTGCAGCCTGCTGCTTCAGAGCAAAGCTTTGGCCCTCAGCTCCCAGAACCCCTGATGAAAAGCCATTGTAGTTCATGTTAAGAGGATTATTTATCACAGACATTACAGATTTTTTTTTTTTTTGTATTCTCTCCTCTGCCCTGTAGGAACAGCACGAGTTTCTGCTGGAAGACTCACAACCTGCTGATGTTCACACTGAGATAGATGCAGAGGAGCAGGAGACCTCCAGGACGCAGCAGAGACTGCAGCGTAGTGCAGTGGCTGCAGGTGAACGGAGAAAAGCTGCTTCAGCAACTCCTGCTGTTCGGTTGTAGCCGGTCGACTCAGTGGTTTTTATTTGAAATTCAAGAGCAGCAAACACCGACTGTGTCGCGAAGCGTCTCCTCGTTTCCACAAAGTGTCAACACGTCGCACGTGACGGAATTTTCATACCAGGGCAGGAAAGTTCAGGTCCCAGGAAACATCAGCCGTATTGAAGAAGACTTGAAACTAGAGACTGAGACATAAACTCCTGAAGAAAATGTTTACTGACGTTATAAAGTGAGACATAAAGAAACTACTGTAGAAACTACCAGTAGAGTCTCCCCCTGCTGGTCACCGAGTGTACGATCTACTGAAATTAAACTTTGTGATTTTACAATAATCCCACTTTAAGACTTCAGGAGGTTAGAGGTTAGTCACTTGACCACAAAACGTAACTTAGAAGTAGAAAAACACGTTTTCAATAGAGGTAAACTTATTTTTCTATTAGTTTCATAATGAATATTAAAATATAAATCTGCTGTAAAGTTAAAACAGACACGATGACGCTGACTTCAGCTTCCAGATTTCTGCGCCTCAGGACATCGTCTCTAACACCTTGTTGTTTATTTAGCCGTCAGATATTTAGTTTCTCTCTTGGGCGTTAGCACAAAGTTCAGGACAGTCTGAAGACATATTCATTTTAAATCGTCCTCTTTCATTTCAACAGGCTGTAAAAAGGCCTCACGTTCTTTCACTTTGCTTTAAGAAACATTAAGACAAAGATGAAGCGAAAGAATCGAGGTCACTTATGTGCAAATTAGCAGCTGACATCATCCGATCCTCACGAGAGGCGAAGCGGCCAAAGATCTTTCTGTTGTTTGAAGATCCCTGAGCAGCAGTGCGGCTAACAGGGGCCATAAAATATAAAATCACTGATCACAGGCATCACAATACATGTGACAGCAATACATTTCAAGCTCGTTCAACATGGGGATTCCTCTAAATGGCCCTAATAGCTGCAAAGGCTTTGGGTCTTTGTCTGCGGTGAATCCTCGGAGACGTGTTGGGAGGAGAGAGAGAAACAAATGGGGCAGAATGGGCTTAAAGAGGTTTACGGGCGAGCAGGTAAAACGGCCTGACGACGGAAAAGCTGCAGAAAAGCTGATTTTGGGTTCCAGAGGGACGAAGCATTAATACGAGCATCAGGGAGGAAAGAGCCGGGCTTTGCATTCAGGTTTCCTCCAATGAAGCAAACGACATCACCAGCCCCGAGCGATATGAACGTACACACACCGAGAAGAAGAAACATACATGTACATATACAACGACGACATGGATAAATACATGTTAAATAAGAGTTCAGACACAAAACACAAACTGAAAATGGATTCAAATTATACTGAATATTAAATTCATCCTGTGACTGTTTCTAATTTCTCTCTCTCACACACACACACACACACACACTCACACAAACACCAGCCAACAGCCATCATTTCAATTTACAACAACTGCAGTCGTTAAACACAACTATAATCAATAAGCTGTTTAGACCACACCCCCGGTTCTCTGCCTGACCCGCACCACTGCAGACACACACACACACACACACACACACACACACACACACACACACACACACACACACACACACACACACACACGTGTCTCAGAGCATTACACAAAGACACGCATGATGCAAGCTTCATGCACACAGGCTGTAATAAGAATGTACCACCTAACAACATGTTTTGTTTGCGTCACTCTATATGTTCCAAATAAATAAAAAGAAAACCAAAGTCCTTTTTCCCTTTGGTTCCCAGGAGGCTGTAAAGCTTCTGATAACTTGTTGGATAAGTCAAGACTAATAAAGTTTTATGGTTCAATGCTTTTAAAAACCTCTCAGTTTAAATAAAGTTTGGAAGATTTTACAGTCGTTTTCAGCCTCGAGCTGCTTTTGGGAAACAGGTTTAAGATCAATACGCTGCAGAACTTCTCTGAGTCACATGCTCCTGAGCTGACGACTTAAATAACTGTTCATTTAAGTGACGGTAACGTTAGACACAAACAAGCAGCTAATGCATCGGAGCCGTAGTTTAATGTGGAGCCTGGAGCTCCTGCAGCTGTTTGACTGTAACTGCTGACGTGGAGCTGATACCAAGGAAAAACCGCAGGGTCAGAAAAAATTAAACTACAGCTGGGAATTCTTCAGAAAACAACCCGGCCATTACGACACAAACACAACCGAACTATTCCGTTTCTATTGAATGTAATTGTTCGGAGATCAGGGGTCAACTGACTGCTCATGGCGAATATTCTTTTTAAATCTCGACGGTAGAATTCCAATTACGCCGAGAAGCAGTGTGAGAGAAAAGAGGAAGGTAGTGAGGCGGAGGTAGAAAGAAGAGAGGAGTGATGTAAAGACGACTCCAAGGACCCTGGTTCCACAGTTAAGTCATTACCCAGGGCCTACGGTGGCCCTCTGGGGACAAGAGCAGGAGCTGTGACAGCAGTGGGACGCTTTTTATTTCCCTAACCCTGAACCCAGGGCTGCTTGTTAAAACCTGGATGAAAGGAAGTGTTTGGCTAATCAATAAGCAAGGGGTGGGGGGGGCCGTAAAGGAGAGGTGCGAACGAAAAAGAAACAGAGAGGAAGCGACAGATGAAGGCAAAAGATAAACAAAGGAAAAGCAATTATTATTTCTTATTTTCTCTTCTTTCAATTTCTCTGTTTACGTATTGAAAGTTTCCACTCGTACAGTCCTCTGCTGCATAAACATAATATATTATATAAACACTGGGTTTTAGTGGAACGCACATATTTACCTCAGCGTGATAACAAACATATTTGTGCATTTCCCAGGGAATGAGATGCACGGCACACTCTCGCTCTGTATTTGCATTTTCATGAGGACCTAATGACCAAAGTGAGGCAGTTGCCAAGTGCCGCCTCCACCTACACGCGATGCAAATGAGTCCGGCGCCGCCATATGTGCGCACTTGTTAGAGAGAGCTCACAGATGTGGCTCCTCCGAACAGGTGCTCGAGACCCACTTCTGCATCTTCCTGCAGCGGCAACAACAACAACACGAGGATTAAAATCCCACGACGACTCCTCCGCTCGTCAATTATTAGTCTGATTTTTGTATTTGTTGCACCGTTTGATTCGTGGATCCTGCGACTTCATCGTGCGCGTTCCTGTCCGCTCGCTAATCAGCCTCGAATCCGAAGCTGGGTCTCATCGAGCAGCCGAGTCACGAGTGTTCACAAAACCTCGAGAAAAAAGTTATTTGAACAACTGACACAGTTTAAAATTATATTTGATATCATATAATCTCCAGGTCATAAATGTTTGTTTATAATGTTAACAGTTTATATTTATGTGTCTATATATAGTTAATTATATTATAGGTCATATAACAAACAGCCTTTTATGACATTTTGTGCCGAGTGTTTGTTTTCTGGCGTTTACAAGCTGAGGCTCAACTTCATTTACACATCGGATCATAATCATTATTTCATTGAACATTAAAATATTCGTTAAAAGACCCGTGGAAGCTGAAGAGAGAAAGTTTCTATAATGATGTCACATCAAACGCAGAGTAGTGCTGCCGATCTTTCAAATGAATTTTAAACCAGGATAAAAAAACATTCTGCGTTAGCTCGAACCAGTCTAATGAACTTGCCCCCTGGTGGCTGGCTGCAGTATCATAAACTGGCCCCTCCTCCATGTGATCGTATGGGACAAGTACAGGATAAATAAATGCTCCTATCACACTGATGTATGTTCAAGTGTCTTATCGATTGGCTAAAATGATGCAGGAGGTGGAGGTGGAGGTGCGTCGTCCAGGCCATGACACAAACTCTGAATTTATTCCCGCAGCTCCGACCTAATTAGTCGTGATGTTGCTGATGACTGCTGCTGACTTCCTGTCTGGTTAAATGGGCACTCAGCCTCGGCGTCTTCTCTTCCATCCTATGGAACACGATACCACCTGATAGATGCATTAGATGGACCCGCTCCTCCTCCTCCTCCTCCTCCTCCTCCTCCTCCTCCTCCTCCTCCTCCTCTTCCATGTGTGTCAGATATCTGATTAGGAGCCGCATCCTATTTAATGATGCCAGGCGCAGAGGATAAATAAGTGACTGAGCGCCGCGCTGCAAATCAAATCAACCGACCAATCACGCCAGCCCCCGAGTTCGTCTGCAACAAAATGGCTGCTCACCCCTGACAGAGGGCTTTTAATCAGCCGGCCTGTAGGCGGTGATGCACGGCGGAGGCGTAGCGAGGGAGGAGGGAGGGGGGGGGGGAGATGTCGCAGACAGAAATACTCACCACAAGACCTGCTCAGCAAATATGACAAACGAGGAGCCGTGATTTAAAAGAACAACTTGTTCCTTTTACAGCGAAGTGAGTTTTGTCTCCTGCCGTCGACTTTACTCGTCTGCAAACACCGAGCTGTTCAACGCCGTCAGATTATTATCACACATCGTTCGTGTTAAGATGAGATTTCGTGCTGAATTAAAAACAGAGATGTTCAAATTACGCACAGTTCCGCTCTTGAGTTCCACGACTTCTGACTGAACAGTTAGTTCTTTCAAAAACAAAGAGGAGGAGAGAAACTGGGTCATGTTCCCGTAGTGTTTGTGCGCTTGATCAATAAATCATGAGTTCTTGATTAGAAACGAAACCGGGTCAGTTCTGGTTTGTGGGAAAATGGTGTCAAAAGGAACAAATTACAGTGATGCTCTGAATTTGCTTCTGACACAGAGCAGCTTGTTTTTCTACTGATTTTTGAAAGTTGTAGCTTTTCAATTTCATTAACGATTTCTATTGATTTCAAACGGGACGTTGCTCCTAAATACTGTTTATGTTTTCAGATATGAAAACGTTTCGTTCACAGAATAAACAGACCGGATGTGCCGTTGTGTTTTCAACATGTAATCCTGGACGAAGCCTGAGCCGAAGCTGTAACACATCCCGACATCCGTTTGAACGCGGAGCCATCAGGTTGAGGTCTCACGACCGAGTGAGGACGAAGGCGCAAGTTCAGCGTGACAGAAAGCATCAAAATCTTTTCCAGCAGAGCGACTGATCCCCAACACCTCTGCCCCTCCGCCTCACAGCCGGCCCCCGGGTCCCCGCTGACGTCAGGACGCCGCCGGGGAAACACTCACAGGTCACGTTAGGGAGCGTGTGCGTGTTCTGCCAATCGTGTATTTCTACATTCCTGAGGACTAAGTCAGATTCTTAACCAGCGAAGTGAGGACATGTAGCATTCAAGGATGTAGTTTGTGTTTTAAATATGAGCATAATATTACACAAATATATATTTATTTCATCAATATGACATCTTAAACATTGGAAAACTAAGTTATAGCAACTTCTGATATGAAACTTTAAATGAAAAAAACTTCAGTTTCTCCCAAAACTACCAGCGATTCCACATTTTTTTGGGTGTGTTACAGTGAAACGTCCCTCGGAATGTGAAAGTGTGAAACATCATTTAGATAAAATAAATGTAACCGAGTTTTTCTTGTGAAGAAAAACATCAAACAAACACAGAAAGTGAGAACAACTGCAGCTCAGCACTCCAGCATCACAACCCACCACCACAGCAGCAGGCCGGCTGCCAAAGACAAACATCCTCAAGGAACAGAGGAGGAAAAAAAGAGCAGAGCACATCAAATGTTTTTGTTCAGTTGTGCATATTAATATTTTAAAACACCAGCTGGCTTCTAAAGGAGTTTTACCTCCGCAAACATAAAAGCACAGTGATTACACCTTTTACAATAATACTCTGGAGGTAAACAAACCTGAATAATAAAATAGCGTATATATATATTTACACTGTAATGAAGACACGAGTAAAACCTGCATCGAGCTGCAGCGTAGCAGCAGTGCACATATCTGACGTGATCTTCGCTCTGCTGAACAATTAGAGTAAAAAATGTTGTGTCAATGAAATATTAGATGTTTTATAACGGACTGTAAATAAAGATGGACGACGAGTCTCATTTTAACTTCACCTACCTCAACAAAAACCAGTCAACACACACGCGCCATTAAAAGGTCACTTTAAGAAAACTCATTAGATTTTCCGGCAGTGTCAGATAAATGCATCTCCATGTTAATTAAGGATATGATTAAATCACTAGTTTATGGATTTTCATTTAGTTCATCAACATTAGCTGCGTCCAGCCTGCAACAAACATCAGCTACACTTAATATTCACACAATGAGACATCAACAATCTCTCATCACTGCTGCCGCCGCGGCTCCGAATACACAGAAAACTCACGAGTATGTTTCCAGAATCTGAATTGATTGTGGAGCTGAAATCAGAAAACTCAAATCTGAGAGGCAGAGACTTGAAGAACAGCAGGAATGTTTCCACTAATTGACTTTTAGATAATAAAGAAGACGTGTTGAGTTATGTGTTTATTGTATTTTGTGTATTTTTTGTTTTAGGAACAATATGATTTCTGGTTTATCGAGACACTTGAAGGAAAAGTCAGGGGTCGAGGAAAACTATTAGGATTCCTCCGCTGGGGATTTCAGAACCGCAGACATTTTGTCTGAGACACTAAATTAAAGGTCAAGGAGGTTTGTCCTCTGAGGACGACCGAGCCGTTCATAACCGGGACCAGTTGACTTCCTCTCTTGCTGTCACTCAGCGCTCCGTGCATGTGTGTGTGTGTGGCGTCTCCTTTGTGTTCAAGTGTGTGTGTTTGTGTGTGTTGGATCAAATACATCAGGCCGGGTCATTACCAACTCTCAGGATAATTTCTCATCCTCATCTGGCGTCGGAAGTCAACAAGGTCACAGCACCGGACGCCGAGTGCTTCTCAGGTTACACACGGACTCGGCCGACATGGCGGCCTCGTCGTGGTAATTACCCTATCACCTTTCAACGGGCAGATATTAGCAGCTCTGATAGTGCAGCATTAATGGGAAATGCACGGGAGGAGTGATCGATGGACGAGCGACCGTAACGAGGGGCTGGACACGGGAAACTAACGACTGCAGCTGAATGACAGTTAGGAAATCATGTTGGGATGTTTTTGTAAGATAAACCTTTGGGAACAGATAAATGTGCCGACATTTCAACAACACAAGTTCATCCAAACTCGTCAAGGTTTTATTGTGACACAAACTTTTGTTTCCCCTCGTTTACACCATGGTTACGAACCGAACACCCCGAGTCTGAGTCACCTCACCGGCTCCTGGAAAAGTTCAGAATGGATTTTAAGATATGATAACATCTTTGACTCATCATTTTCTGGGATTAGACGAAAACCCTCTCTGGTTTCTATTTCTGTGTTCGTGCTCTAACCATAGTTTACAAAATCACTGTGTTTATATTCAGATTTTACCAGAATGTTTTTGTAACCAGGCAGCTACTGTCTCCTCCATCCATCCTCTGCTTTGTGTCTCTATCTGCCTCCGTTCTCTGGACGTTGTGACTGTACCAACGTGCCCAACACCAGTCGAGCAGCCAGCCTGTCGTCTCCCTCCTCTAATTCCTCCATTATGTCACTTCTTGACTCCATCCATCAGCGAGCACCCCGCATGCCGCACGACAGTCATCTTAAAATATCACCGCTAAAAGTCTGCTTCAATTTAACGGATCATAAGACCGGAGCGTGAATATTTAGTGTGTGCGGCTGCCGCCTGGAGATTTAATCCGGTGCTGCATAATTGATGGAGAGACATTGGGAAACTCACAGATCATTAAATGTGATAGCAGATTTGCCAAACACTCCTCAGAATGGTTTATGCTCAACGTCCTGTCTCGACTGTATGTTTTGTGGAGAGTGTCGGCTCCTGAAAACTGGAGTTGAAGAAGATGAAGAACCAGAGTTGAGCTTCAGCTTCTTCCTTCAAATGCCTGAACTGCACCGACTGTATTTTTGATTTTGTTCGTCTCCTCAGCATCCGAGACCTTTAATAAATTCTTCTTTGGCCCATACAAGAGAATCTGTTCAGACGTTTTTGTGCCATCCTGCTCACAAACAGAACCTCCACCCTCCTCCTCTGAATCGACCCCCCGAGCCTCCTACCTGGATCTTGATTGGCCAGCTGAAGTTGGACACGTAGACGTAGAAGGTGATGTTGTGGTGAAGCCTGAAGTTGAACTTTTCGCAGGAGAGACTGTCTCTGTGCTCCTTGATGTTGGTCCGAGCGATGATGGGCATCTCTTCACCCGAGATGGTGCCGGCTGGGGGCGACGGGAACGTGTAAAAGAAGATTTACAACAAAGACAATTCTTTACACGGAAGAGAAAACCAGAAACAACAGTGTGTGTATCAGTGTGTGTCAGGTCTCATGAAGGGTAAAGAGACAAACAGTTACAAGTCTGAGTGTTTTATTGTGTTTCTGCTTCGAAGACAAAACCCAGAGAGAACAGCAGCCGCTCCCGTTTCTTGTTTTCAGAGAGAAACTCTGAGGTGACACAAACAATCACAAACTTTAAAAAGCAGAGAGAAGAGACTGGCACCGGGTTTGGATTTGGTGAAGTGATGATAGAGATAACTGATCTGAGAAAGGTTTGCATCAATACGAAGCTGCACCGTTGTTTCAGGGAAACACAAAGTTATCGCTTCAACTTTTGAACTGGCACAAAACAATTTTCCCCATTTCATGTGTTGAGGACAACAACAGGATCCCGCTGCGCAGAGACTGGCCTTTAAACACAGCATCTTTCTTTCGCACCAGTTTTGACATTTCTCACAGTGTTTCAGAGACACCATGGCTGCTGACATTCACAACCCCAGAGGTCTGTCTGGGATTCTCTCAGATCCTGACACGACCACATGACCACCGGGCCATCAGCTGTCAAACCCTCACTCCTGGCTGCACCATGACGGATCGTAATGACGGTGATCTGATCACACGAGAAACCAAACTAAACAAAGTCTAAACTAAACTGAAACACCCTCGAGTTATCTTTCATTTTCCAGGTTATTCTTTCCCCTGTTTTCAGGATTATACAAAAGCTACTGAACCAATGTCCATCAGGTTTGGTTGAGGCCTGAGTCTGAGAAGAGATCGATGTATTTATCACACTTTCCCTTCATCATTTTAAGAAATATTCACCTTGATCTTGTTTCATGATCAATAAATTATTTATAGCTGATCAGACCGTTATATTTCTACTACAGGATCTACATGTGTAGGATTGTTCAAGGTCACTCAACATATTAGTTTCAACTGAATTTACAGAAATCTACACACGGTCTCATCTGTTCTTTGTAATAGCGGACGTGTGTCGTCATTACCGACACTGGATTTGATTTGTAAACGTGATATTTAAGAATGGAAACAAAAAGACATTGTTCAGGTGGAAGTGGAGAAGAATTGTCGCTCTGTGGGAGGAAAGTAAAAAGCAGCAGCTTAACTTAATAACTTTCCATTTCAAACACTCAGCCAACAATAAAAACCAAACCGAGTTACTCGTCTGCACCGTGTGAACATCTCTGTAAAGATATTTTCACAGTGAGAGTGTGAAGTGAAAACAGTCGAGATTTTATTTTTTTTTAAAAAACAGTTGGAAAATTGAAATTCTCAAACAGAAAAAAAAAACAATCAGCTGTAAAAGTATTTTCATGACACCTCACGGTCAGTCAGAGCGAGCGTGTTGAGTTTCCTGAGTATTTCTGTTTTATCAGAGCCGCTAAACACTTTGTAATAGAGTGCACACAATCGCACAAACAATCACACACACACACACACACACACACACACACAGAGCAGCTCGGTCCCAGGCTGAAGAGGCTCTGGGCCCCCAGACGCTGCCAGTGTGAAAGCAGAGCACTTTTATCTTAATTGAAATCAGGAGTGGAAAAATATATAAAATGTCCCGATGCCATATTCAAAACAGCGTCTGATGTGTGTTGTCGGGACGGGGAATCCCTGTGAGGCGAACAGGAAGTCGATCTGACCCTTTCCCTCGGCCGCCAGCTAACGATGCTGACGGAGGGAATAAATCTTCAAACGCAGGCGACTTCAGAGGCCGACGACAATCACACACTGCTTCAAAAATCGAATTACATGTTTATGTAAAAGTTCATTTTCTTTGTCTTTAAGCAGAAAGGAAACATAAATATTTTGCTTTTAACGATGTTTTAGCCAAAATTCCTCATCGTCAATTTAGGATTTTCAAAATTTATATCGACAGGATTCAGTGAAACAGCGTTTTGATATGGAAGACAGATATCTTTTCTCAGAACAATATGAATGGAAGAATAAATGAAAAGGTTTGTCTCAAGACAAGTGTAAATATATGAGTTTTCTACCTGTGGAGCTTAACGACCAGGTGATGTTGAGGTTGAAGTTGTTGGAGGCGTTGATGGACATGTCGAGATTTTTGTTGGCCTGCAAAAGAAACAAACGCAATTTGAATTTCCTTTCTGATGCAGATGGAAGTGGAACAGTGTTGGACACAGAAACAAAGAAAGTTTTACGATGTCTTCAGACAGATCCTTGTTTCTCTTATTTCTTGATTTATTCATTGACCACTGTGGAGATCTGTCCGTCCATGTAGCAGTTGGACGGTTGTTTTACTCACTTCCCTCCAGGTCTGTCGACCTTTTACCCTCGTGCACATCCACGAAGTGCAACAGGAGAATTCTCGGCTACAACGTTTTAAACTGGCTCTTCACCTCCACTTGTGTCACCTGGGGCGAATCGGACTGTGCCGGTCTCTCCCTGCATCGCTCCACTGATTTTTGTCTGCGATGCTTCAAATATTCCACTTTGACTTGAACCAGAACAAACCTTTCGGCAGCGAGGAGGAAGAGAAGGTCCAATAAAACTCTGAGGCAGCACTCTGACCTCTGACCTCTACCTCTGAGCAGGTTCCTACTTATATAGAATCGATGTTCAATAGATTCTTCTACAGAGCAAATAGGGGGGGGGGGTCTTAAAGAGACGGAGGCTGAACAGAGGAGCTGCAGCGATGGACAGTCGGAGGACAGTGATGTGTTTTCTGAACATTAGAGCATTTAGACCTTTCATAGTAATAACACTTGAACACGTCTCCTTTGTTTTACCTGTTCAGGTGTCGCCATGAAGTTGATGGCCGTGTAGTGACGGTCGTCCTCCTGCAGCAAACTGAAGGTAAACTGGTAATCGATCAACAGGTTGTCTAGGCAACAGAGACAAAAAGACAAACTCCCATCAGGAGATGCATCACTACTTTATTTATTTGAATATTCTTTTAATGACTTGTTTCAATAGTTAAACTAATAATAATGATTATTCTCGGAGCTCACCTGGGGTCCCTTCAACAGAAAGAAAGGTCATTCCAAATAAAGTCTCAGGTCATTTTTATTGACACCAGCTTCAAACACAGACAGATTTATGAAAGTAAAACTGTAGGAGACGAGAACCGGGAGTCGATATTCAATTAGATGAATACGGCTGCGACACTGTGAGTTCTGCTCAAAGATCACAATCAGCCACACAATAAACAAGCTGCTTCACATACGTACACACGCACTATTATCTATGTCAGTATTAGTTGGATAAATATGAACTCGTTCGACGAGGCGGCCTCTGTCTTAGACAAGCGAGCGGCCCGATCAATAAACCACGAGCGAGAGTCTGAATAATCATGTTCTCTCAGAGGTTTAATCATTTGTGACAGCAGCTCCAGCTGAGCGTCTGGAAGCTGCTCTTTGTCAGCGAGACAATGGCCGATGTTCGGAGAGAATCGCGGTGACGCAACATCTGGACGGACAGCAGGAGCCACGCTGGGTCACCTTGTCTGCTCGCCCGATGGTGGTGGTGGTGGTGGTGGTGGTGGGGGGGGCACACACCGTCGCTCCATCGTCCCGTTGATAATTTAAACAAAAAGTCAGATTTTCGGCTTCTTCATCAATCTCCTGCGCAAATGACGGTTGAGCTTCATGTAGCAAACTTTCACAACACAGTCGGTGAAGGTGAGGTGGTGTTCGGCCGCAACATGCGACTTCACCAGTAGATGTCACTAAATCCTACACTATTAAATTCTTAAGGATGTCGGATATGAAAATAATAAACTGCCCCGCAGAAGAGAGGCCGAGTGACTGAGCGTCCAACGAACGAGGGGAACATTTGAACATGTTTAAAAACTGGATTTTTAACTCACGGAGCAGAACAACTTTGTGTGACACCCTGTAAAGAGAAAGACAGATTTCAAGTTGTCACCTTCCTCTCAACTGTGCAATCCCAGGGCGTAACCGAGACGAAAGCAAATTATGTTTGACAAACACTCTTGTTTTGTTCAGCCTTCATGGCGAGTTAGCCCGAACAGCAGATATCATCACATCAAAGATAATATTTCCTCTGAACATCTCTCTCTTCCTCGCTCGCAGGCAGACGTGCACTGCCGCTGCTCAGTTGTTTATCCCATAAGGGTCGTCTGCACCACTTCAGAGTATTTGGGGTTTTTAGACTTTGTAAAAAAAAAAGAGGATAGGGACCGGCGTGTCTGCGTGTTGGTGCACGGCGTGTTTTTTTCTCGGTGCATCCTACACCTCTCTCTAGATGCGTGTGCACGTGTGAGTCGCTGCCTGCAGCCACCTGCAGCATGTGAGTGTTTACAGGTGGGTACGTGTCTGCATAGTTAAACAAACAAATGAGAGTACGGCCCGGAAACAAATTACTGCGGTCCCTCTGTGTGTTTCCAATATGTTTGATTTCAAGGCTGTTAGTGGGAAGAGCATCGGCAAGGTTTAAAAGTTCATCTCAGCTAATTACAAATCCCATCTGAGAAATCTGACAGCAGTTTCACTTAGGCAGTCTCACTCCGCATAAATCGTACCAAGGTAACACTGAAGGTATTACCCATCCCCAGATGAAGTGAAATAGAAATAGTCCATGCCAATTTCTCAGGTTCACAGATGGGTGATCTTATTACCATAATATGTAAGCTGATTCAGCCAAAATGAAACAAAACACTGTGATGGGGAGTGAGAAGGCAGAAGAGAAAGCCCCTCACCCGGAACATAATCTGATATCGGCCTGTTTCTCGAATAGAAATCGAAAAACAAGCGTGAACTCTCCTACAATGTCAGTGTGTCTGAATCTCTCGCTGATGTTTCATTTAATGCTTGTTAACAACTCATTATTTCCCATTTGCAACAGCTGCCTGACGGAGCGCGGGCCAGACGCTGCGCCGCCAACTCGCCGAGAAAACGCGTCGGAACCGCGGCAGTAAACACAAGGACAGCGCCGATTTAATACCAGACCCGACTGGAGGTCAAGGTAAACCTGGAGGTAATGTATGCACGGGGTCAGCTGCCCTCGATTTATATGAGCTTCAACTCAATTGGTTTGAGGGATGGATTCACATAATGATCACCAGTGTCTCTACTGATCCTACGTCCGTGAAAAGTCGGAAAAACACGTGAAAATCAATAAGTATTTTAAGGTAGCGGAGAACAGAGCTGCACACAACAACTCTGAAAGTGAAACTGATCCAAGATCAGTCAGAATATTTCATTTTTAATACAAATCTGTCAACAGTAAACTCTAAGATTTGAGCTTGTCGGCCTCATAGGACCAATTAATCCACTTGAGATAGGCGTCCAGACAGAGTGCCTGTCAACAAACATGGAGGCGTGCTGGACTGAAGCATCGAGGTCTAATGAACGGCCCGAGGACGTGAACGCTGCCGACTGCTGATTACTGCTGTACGACCACTTTGAGCTCTGAATCTGCAACAAGGCTCACTCTGTGTTTTTCCTCCGATTCGTGCCGTCCACCGCTAATTGTCCTTTAATTGGGATTGTGAGGCTGTCAGTAAATATCGGAGCCACTTTCCTTTGGCCTGACTAAGCTTTCCCAGCAGCCCTGGGGGCAGCAGGCTGCGACGACTGCAGCCCGACTGGTGTGAGGCTGATAATTCCACTGACTGCTGGTCTTTCCAGCAGAAGTGACGGGGCACTTGGTGGCCGTCCCTAATTAGGCGTCCCCTTGTAGCTGACTGTGATGGAGTATGACAGCGGTTTATTAAAGCGTTGTCCTGGTGATGCCTGCTCATAAATGCAAGCCTGACTGGGGGCGAACTCATTAAATAGCAAAGTTGCTTTTCCATCAATTGACTGGTGGTTCAATATGACAGTGTTAACTCAACCAGAGCATCACTCCCCGCGCTGCGTCCTCGGCGAGGATGAGGAACACTGCTGTCAATATCTCCACGCTCACATTTATCAGCCTGATGAAAACATTTCATCAAATTGAGTTTCTGACTGCCGCTTGTTAATATGGAGAAGAACAACTTTCTGTGTTTGGATGTAGATCTGCACTGGTACATTACGTCAAAATGACAAGACAACAAACGTTGGATGATAAAGTTTCTTTTTTCTGTCTATGAGCAAAGAGGCCGAACACAACAGTGAAATCCTGCTGACAAATAAAAACTGTCCGTGGGGATTAGAAGGATCAAAAGTAGTTTATGTGTCTGTGATGTAGGAAAACACAGACAGCTAAGTATTATTATAGAACGGACAGAAACAAATATCCAACTGATAAATAGGTGACATGAGTCTTTCACGGGACACGATACTCTTGTAATTGTTATTTGAGTTTGTTGTTTCGTGGCATTGGTCGACAAATTTGTGCCGTGAATAAGTGACGTCTGTTCCTTGGCAAAATATTGTTCTGCTAAATGTAGCATGTGCGACCCCTCGTTCTGAAACATCTGACGCCTCCGACCTTCCACAGGAGAAGTCACGAGTCTGCTTCACATCTGACCTTGACATTGCACCTCCATGCAAACAGCTAAAAGAACAGAGAGAGAGAGAGAGGAGCACGCTACCAAACGAGAGATTCAGAGCAGATGTCTAAGGTGCTGGACTTATTACATTCAGCTGTTCAACCTCGACTGGCTGTTTGGTTTGTATAATGGCTTTTTGTTCAACTTAAAAAGAGTCTGTGCCGGGTGCTTAACCTCTATCCATGGAC